CTTAAAGTATTTTATGATTCATTTAATATACTGAAGTATTTTTTTTTTTTATATGGATGCAGTAATCCTAAAGTAGCTTTTCAGTTGTATCTGGTATGATAAAATAATTTGTGGTTCAATTTTATCCTTAAAATATTTTTAGAAACAATTTTAACCACGCTTTTAACTTTCGAAAAGCCTATTAAGTCTTGATTCTTATCCTCCACGTTATGTGATGATTCTTATCTTTCATGTTTTCAGTACTGAAAATAATTAAGGATAGTTGACTATCGAGGCACCAATAATTTCTTAACATTATAATACAAATATATATAAATTAACTCCTTTACTCTAACTTAAACTCGTGATAAGAATTTATCTGAGAATAACAAGTCTTGATTGTGAAATGATAAGTCTAGATTTAATATTAACAAAGTATTTTTTATATATATAATATGTGAAATAACATGTGAATCAATCAAAAATGATAATATTTCATTTATGAATGATAAACTTCAGTTAGAATTCACAACACGTTTTTTCATCATATAATTAATAAAAAAAGCAATTTATAAATGCTTTTTAATCTATATATCTATATAACTTATTGACTATACTTTTGTTTATGATTTATAATTAGTTATTTATCATTTATAATTTATATACTTTTACTTATATATTTATTTAATGAGTTATATAGGTATATAGATTAAAAGTATCTATAAATTATGTTTTTTACTAATTATATAATGAAAAAACATGTTAATCCCAACTTGAAACTTGTTATTTGCAGACGAAATGTTATCATTTTTAATTGATTCACATGTTATTTCACATATTATGAATAGAAAAGAAAGTCTTGTTAATATCAAATCTTGACTTGTCATTTCACAAGACTTGTTATTCCCAAATAAATTATTGTTATTCTTGATTAATTTGCATGTTATTTCATGTGTTATGTATAAGGAAAATTTTTTTTGTTAATATCAAATTTAGACTTGTTATTCCCAAATAAATTATTGTTACGAGCTGAAGCCAGAGTAAATAATTTAACTTATATTTTGTTTTGCATTCTAATATTAAGAAATTATTAGCAGCCTAATACTTATCTATTTTTTTATTAGCCCAAATGACCATGAGGTGGTGGGATTAAATCCCACCTCCACCACTTTCCTCAAATAATTTCCCATTGGCAAAAAAACAAATTTTGCCAACAAATAAAAAGCCTCTACCACCAACCAGTCAACCACCAGCCACCAATGTGGTCTCAAGCGAGGAGTTGAACTCTTTTGTTTTTTTTTTTTTTTTCAAAAAAAGACATTTTTATCATTTTCTTTAAATTTCAAAATTTTAATTTAGGTTTATTTTTCTCTCTGTCATTCCTAATGGGAAGTGACAATTTCAAGGGTTTTTTGTCATTTTCACTCTAAGTTGAACCCATAAATTGAATTAAGTGAAAAAATTTAATAAAATATTTGCAAAATGTAAATAGTGGAGATTAAATAAAATTTTTTTTATACGCTATAATTTTTAATTACAGAGATATATTTAAAAAATAAATAAAATTAACATTTTCAACATGGGAGAAATTCATCGTGCTTTTGGATAATCTGCTTATTAAAATCAAATCAAAACATTTGAAGTGATTTGAATTATATATAAAGTTCTTGCTTGATTCTCATATCAAGAGATCATAATATAATCCACATATCGGTGAACCACAAATAAAATATTTGTCTCTTGATCTTCAAAATATTGTAATATTAATATATGTTTTATTTATTTTAACAAAATATTTGAAAAGTTTGTTCATGATATTAGACTTTGTGGACCTGAAGATGTTAGCTGATGTTGGCAGGATGGAGAATTAATACACATTGTGCTCTTTTTTCCTTGTTTATGGTCTTGTCCTGCTAGGTTTTTCTAGCAAGGTATTTAATAAGGCAACACTCGATGATATATCAATGAATTCTATGATGTACTCTTTTTCTTTTATTAAGATTTTGTTCCACAGGATTTTTTTTAGTTGAAATTTTTTGAATATAATAATATCTGTATGGATGTTCATATCTCCCCATCATTTCCAATATCTTATACTATTTACATGATTCTATTATTATCTCTTATTATTATGTAATCAATAAATTTTGTTAAAGTTATGAAATTGTGTTAATAAATAGAGGGTATGTACGTTGTATTTAGGACTTTAAATTGAATGAGAAATACTCACCATGTTAGAAATTATAGTCACACGATCATAGTTTTGCAGGAAAAAATCATGATTTTATGAAAAACCATCCAAACACCTTATGAAATTCAATAACCGATTAGGTATACCGAAACCATGGTTCAAAGGATAGCCCAATGAATCAGGTAAAAAAAAAACACAAAATAAACCCATGGTTTTTTAAGAAGTCAGTTTGTTCTGCTTTTTTGAGGGGAAAACCATGATTTATCAAAATATTTATACATATTATTGTAACGAAAAAAAAATATTTATACATATTACTGACTAATTAATTATGTAAAAAAATATTGATCTTGTATATGTATATTTATTATTTATTTATTACTTGTATATTTTCAAGTAATTTGTAGCTGAAAAAGTGACTCTGATAACAATCATCAAATCTAAACACTTACAATTTTTTAAAATTACTTTTTTAACAAAATCTATTATTCTACTCAAAATATATTCTCTAAAATCAATCTTATTACTTTTTTCAAGAAGTTATTTTCCAGAAACTAATCCAAACACCTTTAAGAAGTATCCAAACACCCCCTAAAGTCACAAGCAATATCAATTCTAGAAATTAAAACGAGGTACGATTTCCAAACACAAAATCATAAATCATAGAGCCAAGAAGTGAGAGTTGCTGAGTGAAGCACCAGAATGCATGAATTCAGCCATGGTAGCTAGAAAATGATAAACTATAATGCAAAGACAATAAACAGGAAGAAGCCTACACACACAAACACAACAGCTCAAAGGGCGGGCAAGTTACAGGTATTTATGGCCCGGGTACAATTAGCTATGGCGGGCAAGTTACAGATATTTATGGCCCAGGTGCAATTAGCTATGGCTACATATGCATCCATCTAGCTCCTTAATATGCATGTAAAATCTACCAAAACATGCAAGCTGTTTTTTCAGCTGCGGGGCTAATGAGAACTTTAATGAGTTCCTAAATCCAGAGTGGTCAAAATATTAAGGAATATTTTTTGTATCCTTGATCAACCTCCACCTTGGCTTGAACAGGTGGATCTTGATGAAGGAAGCTAGTCCTTGTAATGCTTTGTTTGGTTGAATAGATAGGAATCCGGTTCTTATTCCAAAAAAAATATTAAGGAATAGAGCCTCAATTTCACACAATCCAAAACTCTGCAATTATGATGTAACACTTTCCAAGCGTCTATTAATCCACAGGATAGGGTGCTATAAACCCAAAAGCCGAATACAGAATAAGACTATTAATTATAAAAATGACACAAATGATAACAGATGTCCTTGTGAATGACACCGATGTCATCTTGTGATGGTTGGATTGACCATGGCGTCATTCTCTCCTTGATAACAAAAATACAGTAAGAATTAGAGAACAAGTCTAAACATAAGGGAATACAAAAAACATTGGATACATAACAGTGAGATAAAAGAAAAAACTGTGCTTCCCTGAGAGCGGAAAGCTGTAAGTTCTAGACCCTTCATTCGAAATGGCAGTTGAAATGTCCAGTTGTAAAAAGTTCGATGATTCCAAAAGATGGAGATATGGATTGCTGGCCATCTGTTTTTGGTCTTGTTTAATTTAAAATCAAATATCCCGCATATTGCCTATGAAGTAATAATGTGGCCTCCCTCACTGATCTGTGATTGCTTGCTGAGTTGCAAAGATGCCGTTGAAGGTTGAAGGCCCTCTTCAGTTTCAACAATAGTTAAAGCTCTCCAAGTGGCTTTGCTGGTGACTTCATTTTGTGTAGTATGGATAACTGCAAAACGACTTCATTTTGTGTAACATGGATACCTGCAAAACAAGTCTGATTTCGAAGGAACCGCAAAGAATCCAGGAGGGCGAAAAAAAAAAAAAAAAGAGCCCAGAAGTTACAACTAGGTAGCTTATGCATTGTCTAGCAAGGACAAACCTTCTGGTCACAAGTTTCCAATAGGTTTTAGGCTTAAACAATTTGGACATCGTTTGAACCAAAAACATATTGAATTAGGTCTAAATTCGGACCTTCCTGACATAGACCAAATATGTATCCTTTGAGTATTACCTAACAATTGCAAATGCAACCTACCTTTTCTTCTTAGTGCCCATATTTTTTAGTCGGTGAAGACAATTCCCACGTTTTCAAAGACAAAAATGCCAATGTTTTCCAAACAAACAAACACAATTCCTGCCCAGTTATATGTATTGCCTATTTCACTAGACAGGTTAAATCAGCCAAATGGTCCAAAGGAGCTGTAACTACATTGTTTACGGAGGCTACAACAGAGCTTAAATATAGGTAGACATATGAGCAATTTTCTGGTCTAGAAACATATTTAAAGCACCATATTTAAAGAAACTCATGGGCAAATACCATAAGCACAATTGTTTTTTTTTGGCCACATACCATAAGCACAATGAATCTATTAAAGATATGACTTGAACATTAACACATCAAGTCCATTCAGCCAATCAAATAATCCAACAATTTAACCAAATAGAAACCATCACTAGATAACCATTGAGGACAAATTTAAAAATTTGAACAAGTATAAGTAAATAGGATGAGAGTATCTAACCTTGTTTGTTTGAGAAGACCAATATCAATCATTTCATGAAGAATATTCTCTACTTTATCATTCTCTCTTTTTCCCAAAAGAGCTCGAAGAAGTATTCTATATGTTATTGAATCAGGCAGGCAGTCATTCTCTTTCATTTTTGAAAGCAAAGTCATGGCTTCACCAAGCAACCCTTGCCGACAAAGGCCATTGATCATATTGCTATATGTGTAGACATCTAAATGATAACCTTTGCTCAAAAGGTATTCAAAATCTCCCAAGCATCATTTACTCTATCACCTTTACACAAACCATAAATAAGTATGTTAAGTGTGCGCAAATTAGGCTGAACTCCCAAGGCAACCATTTGCTGAAATAATGCAATCCCTTGATCGATATTCCGGCTTTTGCAAAATGCATTTAACAAAATGTTACAAGCGACTACATCTGGGGCAACACCACTATCATGCATATCATCAACAAGGTCCTGCACAGATGACATTTTTCCTAATCTGCACATGCCATGAATAGGAGAGTTGTAAGTCCAGGCATTGGGATCTACGCTTTTGTGACCCATCTCTTTAAACGGAACCTTAGCTTCTTCAACCATGTTGCTCTTACATAATCCGTCAATCAAGATATTAAAACTAACTACAGTAGGTGCCAGCCCACTACGAATCATCTTATTAAATACTTCTTTTGACTCATTAACATTGTCCATTGAACAATACCCATCCATTAATGAATTGTAAGTTACAACAGTAGGTATCTCGCCACATTTCATCATCCTGCCAAGAGCAACTTCAGCTTCTATGATCTTTCCTTCTTTACAAAATGCACCAATCAATATATTAAACATATAAACATCAGGCTCGATGGCTATCAATAGTACCATTTCATGGAGCAACCAGTTAGCTTCTTGCCACTGTCCCTTGCTGCAGTGACCATGGATTAGAGAGCCATAAGTGACAATATCGGGGTAAAAGTCCTTGATCAATCATTTTAGAATACAATGCATGGGCCTCAACAATTTGTCCACATTTGCAAAGGCTATCAATGATTGTAGTGTATATGACTACATGAGGCTTAACTGAATGCCTCTCCATCTTTCGGACCAATTTAATGGCAGACCTTAATTTGCCCAGTTTACATAGCCCATTAACCAAGGTTCCATAACTAACTTCATTTAACTGAAATCCTTTGGCCATGATGTCATCATAAAAGTCCAATGCTTCTCCAACCTGGTTCCTAATGCACAGTCCCTTTATCAGCGTATTGACAGTCACAGTACTCGGTTGAAGACCCATCTTGTAAAACTTATAAACAAAATTTTTGTTGCAAACATTTATAACTTTCTGATCGACTATATATTTATTTAAAAAATTAATCAATTTTTCATTCAATTTTTTTTATAGTAATATTAACTAAATTATTTAATTTTCTGTCCCGATATGATAAAGACATTAAGCAAATAATTATTTATAAAAATAAAAAATAAAATTAAAGTAAAAGAAAAATTCTTAAAATTTTTAAAATAGTTTTAGCCAAAATTTAAGGATTTAGTATTACGAAAAGTAAATCAGTAAATAAAAAATAGTTTAACATAAATTTTAATTAAAAAATAATCTTTTTAGAATATTCTTAATGAAGGTAATAATTTAGACTTAAATTTATATTTTCAGAATAAAGGAGAGATCTAATGTAATTAGAATAAAATATTAGGGAGGTTAGAATATTTTACTCTAGAGTAAAATAATGAGTGTTTTTCTATATATATGTGCACACATATATATTGTGTGTCTTTTGTTTCTTAATTTTGCATTTATTAAAAGTATCAGATATTATATGATTTACTGGAAAAAAAAATCAGATATCACATGATTAATCATTTAAAAACAATAATAAAATTGTTCTCATAAAATTATGTCACAGCAAACTTATGATGTGTTCCGTTAAAAATTTTCCCCGTCAAAATTTTAAATTTAAACAAATTATAGTAGAACAAATTGAGAACATTCGCATAGAAGGGGAAAAAAAAAAATACTCTGCAACATATATATTTACTATTTTCTCAATATTAAATTTGCTAAAAGAAACAGGTATGAGAATATTGGCTAAGAAGGATGAAGTATCACTAGTAACAAGCACAAAGTCAACATACAATTATAGATATATTAAAAGATAAGAGGAAAACATTATTATTGGATCCTCAACCATTTTAATTGGAAACAAATCAATAAGCATTTGCTAACTACTCAAGAAAACCTTCATCATTTGTAAAGGCATAACACCAATTGAAGAAATTCATTGCTTCATTGTCATTGATAATCTTAACCTTATGAATCATCCATTAGGGTACTTTAAAGCATGATAAGTTATAACATTAGGTCGGTCTCCCACCACATTTCATCAACTAAAAAACAAATACATTCTCTCCGGTCCTAAATGTATTATTTTGTTGTTATTTATAAGTCTCTATTTATAAGTTTACTTGCACTCAAAACCCGCAAATCAAGAAATGCATTAAATTGATAATTTGTTCACATTTGCTCTTATTAAAAAAAGTATTAAAAATAATGGAGTATTTTATATTTTCTCTCACTTATTTCCTTTATCTCTATATGCATTTATGAAGTTAACAGGAACAAAATTGAAAAACATTCATTAATTACCCTGCAAATGATTTATGTTTAGAAATAAACTTTTCTAAATTGGGACAAAATGGTATAAACTACTACTTCTGGTCCTTAACATAGACCTCATTTAACTTTTATTTTGGTCCTAAATATAAGACCCTAATCCACTTTTTCTCTAATATTTATGTATTTTTTTCAAGATAACCCTTCTAATAATGGTAGTTCTAGCCAATAAACTTGATTAGCAAGGATATTTTAAGAAAAACAACACATATTTATTACAAATAACTAACTTAACTTCTTTCTTTAATTTTCTCAAATTAGTCAACTGGCTCTTATAATTAAGACCGGAGGTAGTAATAACTAATTTGTAGAAAAGATTTAGTTATTTTTATAAATCATGTGTTGATTTTCTTAGAATACATGTTCCAATCATTTGCATGAAAAACTACTCTCTTAATGAATAGTCCTCATCAATAGAGAGAGTGTGGGGGAAAAATATTAAATTTGGGAGGATTAAAGCAAATTCTTCAACTAGTTTTTCTTTTTTATATATTTAGAACCGGAGGAGTGTAAAAATTTCTCACAAACAAATAATTTTGAGAACTTCAATTATTTTTTTTGGCATAAAACCTATGAAATTTCATTCAGCAACAAAACTATGTACGAAGTTTAAGAACTTCAACTAAGGGTGTGTTTGGATGAAACCAAACCGTGATTTGGAAAAGTGATTCTGGAGAATAGATTCTGGGAAAAATAGATTTTGGAAAAAATAGATTTTATGAAAAAGCGATTTTGAGAAGTGAGAGTGTTTGGATAGTTGTTATCAGAAGCACTTTTTATATATACAAATTACTAAAAAAAATACATAAGTTAATATGATAATTACAGAAAAAATAGATTTTATGATATATTTTAATTTGAAGGAATAAAATTGTTAATAATATATTTTTTATTAACATAATTAATAATACATAAGATAATATAATTAATAAATAATTAATATGTATATATATTTATAAAATATAAGATTAAATATGTTTATAAAAAAAATAACAAGATACATATCCTATAGGCTCTCACACTCCCTTTTTTCTCCAAAAGCAAAAAATTTTTGCTTTTTCTAAAACATGCTTTTGGAGCCAAAACCATGGTTTTGGTTTTTGGGTGGGTGTTTGGATGATTTATTCTCCAAACCATGATTTGGAGTGTCACCCAAACACAGTCTAAGTGAATCTAAATTATGCTACATTTGTACTCGAGCACACTAAGTTACTATTTTGGTATGAGGAAAAGGGAGCAAAGGAAAGGGGAAGAAAAATTTTAATGTGCTGCATTTAAAATAGTGGGGTTTTAAATTTAATAAAAAAAATTAATATAAAAGAGGAATAAAAATTAATTAAAAACTTTTAACCCTATTTTTTTAATTTTTTAAATCAAGCTTATTAAAAAATTTTCTTTCCTCCCCTCCTCTTATTTTCTGTCATACCAAACACATCCTAATTATGAAGCAGAGGAGGCGGCATCACTTGATTCAAAATTAAAGAATAATGCACTCTGTAACCTAAAGAAAAATAAAGAAAGAAAAAGGAAGAAGAATCCATTGCTTTTTTTTTTCCCCCCTCTGAAAAGGCAAGGCAAGAAATTACTTTTCCGGTTCTTAATATAAAACATATTTAACTAATTTGATTAGATTAAGAAAGTTAAGTAATTTAGTTAATTATAAAAAATATGACATGTTTTTTCTAAAACACCATAATTATTTTCCTTAATATTCTTTCTCTCTCTTCTACTTGATTAGGTTCAAAGAGTATCCATAGAGGTAATTTAGTAAAAACTGATAAATATAATAAATATATTTTATATTTAAGATTAAAATTAACTCAAACTGAAAGAATATATTGCAAGTGTTATCCCCAGGTTGCAACAACCTACCAAACTAAGCCAGAGGCCACGTTTAGATGGCTACAGTCTATCAAAAGCTGAACTATGCAATAAGTTGGGGGATCTCGTAATAGAAACAATGTGTTGCACATCTCGTGAGCATTCCAAGCAAAATGATCATCATATTGCTGAATCTCAAGATCCCAACTAGAATACATCAGAGACTGAGACTTATATTAAAAGATAAGACCAAAACAATATTATTGGATCTTCAACAATTTTAATTGGAAACAAACTATTCAAGAAAACTTTCAGCACTTGTACAGATAACACTAAATGAAGAGATTCATTGCTTCCTTGATAATATTGACCGTATGAATTCACCGTTAGGATACTTTAAGGACCCGTTTGGTAGGAAGAATTGATTGGAATGGAATGGAATGAGAAACTTCTATGCTATAGCATATTTGGTAAGCACTGAAATAAAACATGGGTTGATGAAAAATTTTATATTTGGTTGGATAAAAATGGATTGAAAAATTGTGCAATTTACCATGTTACCCCTAATAAAAAATATAATATTGTTAATAAAATGCTTTTTAACGTTAAAGAATAATATTATTATCAAAAAAATTCAATAATGCAAAAAGTTAAATTATAATAAATTATAATTTAAATAAATAAATATAAATACTCAATATAAATATAAAAATCATCATAGATTTTCATAAAAAATACAAGAAAACTAATCTAGAAATCCTTACGATTTATACTAGTTTTGAATTAGGTTCTCAAGCTTTTTTTATTTTTTTATTGGATCCTTAAATTTTTAACCATTAAAACCGTCAATCCTTCCGCTAAATTAGAATGCGCAATGTTAAAAAGTTTTGTTACAGTTTCTTCCCTGTTGTTCTCCAGACCTCATCATTCCTTCTCTCCGCTTCCGCCATGTCCCATTTTCTCAAAAGCAAGAAGGCCCATGACTCTAAAAACGCGAGTCCAAGTGCAAGCTCATTCATCAAATTCCTAAAAACTTTCTACATCTTATATAAGACTGCACATGGGTAAGACTAGATAGGGCAAGTACCTTGCCCATTGTCCAGCTCAAAATATGAGTGGGTTGCAAAAACCAATCCAGCTCGGTAGAAACCCTAACCATTTTGGAGGGGCCAGAGCGAGCTCTCCTGCCCAATTTACTAACACATTGCCTATATTATATGTAGAATATCATGCTTTGAGACAAGGTGAGAAGGAAAAAATATATCACGAATGACTCAATCACTCATATATGCAAGACTTATGTAATCTTGTACTTCAGCCTTCGATTTCTTATGGGAGGTAAAAAAATTATTTAATAATTAAAACATTTAATAACTAAGCTAATTCTGTAGTTCAATTCTTTAGTTCATTCATATAGTTGGCGTATTCTTATAGTCATGTGAAAACACAAGATTTGAAAGGTGGTTTTCTTTTTTTTTGAAAAAAAATGGAGGTAAGAGGAAAAGATGGAAATTTGACTAAGAGCAATTTAGCTCATTGAATCTTATATTTTGATATTTGGTTCTTTTATATAATTATAATTTTTATATTCCTTTCATTTTTTTTAATGTTACCAATTTTTTTAGCAAAAATAAAAGGGGATAATTGATCAAAATAATACTACATTATATATATATTATAATATATAATTATATTTTTTTCGGACAAGGCCAAATAGGCAGGGCAGCATACTAGCCAATGGCCCGGCCTTGCCCATGAATCAGTCCTACATAAAAATACCTTTTTTTGTTTGGACGGCTTTTTCTTGGGTTGGGCTAAGTGTCTTTTTTGCGGGCTCGGACGAGCACACTGGGTATGCGGGTCTCATACGCATCCCTGATCTTATATACTTGTCCTCACCTCCATATCACCAGTTTGCCCTCATCCATGAAATATCTCGATGTGTTTTACTCGCAAATCTTCCCTTATATGAGAACCTAGGGCCTCTCTCATTGCTAACACAATCTTACTTCTCCAAATCATCACCTCGCTTTGATATTTTAGTCCTCCACGCTACTACTAAATGGCTCTTGGAAGGGTCATTGGCATATCTCTCACTCCTCTCTAGTAGTGGTGTTCATGGGATGAGATGGGACAGGAACGATCCCGTCCCAGTTCTGTCTTGATAATTGAAATTGGATAGCTTTTTTGTCCTGTGTCGCGTCCTGTCCCAATAGCGTCCTGTCCCAATTGGGATGGGATATAACTGGGATGGGATGCCCATCTCTTCTTCTTTTTTCTTTGTTTTTAATTTGAATACTAACTATACATGAAGTGTAAGAATTTATGATAAAAACTATATAAAGGAAATAGATAAAAATATGAAACAATGGCAAAGGAAAAAAATTTGTAATCTTAAGAGACAAAAAATAAACAAACCTAAAATGTTCACTATAAAGAAAATCATGCAACTCATAGAAAAATTACTTATAAACAAATAAAAAACAACAATTGATAAATATTATTACCAAAATACTATTATAGTGGTAAATAAAATAAATTTATAACAATTAAAAATAAAGATAATATATTAGGATGGGAGTGTCGAAATAATTTCATTCTGTTTTGCTTTCATCCCATCCAAAAAACTTTCAAGATGAGATTGTCACATCCCAAAATGATTAGAACAGGAACGGGACGCTGTTAAACCTCCCTACTCTCTAGGCTTCTCATCAGTCATTTGTTCATTATCTCTCTATTTCTTGCTCTTTCAATTTTAACGCACAACTCTCCAACTATGACATATTAACCAAAGCATTATATTGATTGTAGCTGTGATTGTCACCTAGCTCTCCAACTATTGATTCTGTTCTTTTGTGAGATTTTTTCTTCATTCAAAACTCTATTCTAACAAAAGAGATAAAGTTTTCTTCACTTCATGGCAAATCTTGAGAACATTTTTTTTTGGGTACAATTTTAATTGGCAGATGCATTTGATCCATTTCTCCATTGAGGAGTTTGCCGCATATGCTGAAATCAATTATGCATTGGCAGCATCTTGCAGTGTTGCAGTACTCTCAAGGAGAGGATGGAATGTGAAGGACGGTGAGGTCCGGGGAATAACAGGAAAAGAGAGGATATAACGGAAAATTTTTAACAACGTGTATTCTAATTTAATGGCAAGGACTAAGAGTTTTAACAGCAAGAAAAAAAAATAAAGGATCTAATAAGAAAAAAAAAACTTAAAGACCTTATTCAAAAGTGATGCAAGTTATAAGAACCTCCAAATTAGTTTTTCCTTAAAAAAACACTCTAAATATTAAATTTTTTAAAAAATAATCCCATATTTTCTTGCAACAACTCCCTCTTTTTTTTCTTTTTTTTTTTTAATGATAACGAACAACTCCCTCTTTTTGAATGCTTGCAGTTTTGGATGTCTCCAACGATCTGTTTTTAGTCATAGTATTTGTCGTTGCTTTCATCAATTCGAATTTTTACTTCCTACTCAAAACTTCCCATTTCCAAGTCATGCGGTGGATCAAATTCAAATTTTTGAATAGATTTTTGTTACATTAGAAACTAGCTTTCATGGTCTTTTAATGATAGGTCATTTACCTAATTTATATTTAAATTGATAGAGTTATGTTGGATGAAAGTTAAATTTTAATATGACGAGAAAAGGCGAAAGCAAAATCAAACTTGAGGGAACAAATTCAAATTTTCTTACATCAAATTTGAATTTGCCAAAATAAATTTAATTTGTTTTTTTTTTTTGCATCACATTTGAATTTGCTCAAACAAATTTGCATTTTATGCAAGGAAAAAAATTTACCATCACATTGGCAAATTCCCATTTCATACAGCAAGTTCAAATATCTTCCCATCAATTTCAAATTTGCTACACCAAATTCCAATTTGCTCTCTTTTTTCTAACCACAGCTAAAGTTTATTTCCACTAAATGTAACTTTTTCAATTTAAATTCAAATTAGGCAAATAACATATTATTGGAAAGCTCTCTAAGTATACTTTTGAATAAAATAAGACCCATTCAAAAAAATTTTGTATCTTTAAATTTATTATTGAAAGAGTTAGCAAATATCAGAAATATTTTTCTTATTTAATGATATAGAAATGATGAAAAAAGCTTCTTTATCTATCTCTGTTTTTCTTAACTGAAAATAGTGCAAGCCAAAAAGAATATCAGCACCATAAATTCCCATTAGAAGAAGATCTTTGGCCACTATGTTGTACTGTTTTAGTACTAATAATAACAATGGAACAGTATGGCAAGATCATTTTGCGAGCCCTGCCACATTCATCTTCTCTTAACTCTCTCCCTCTCTAACTCCCAAGATTGTCGCGATGGTGTCAATCAAGGAGGAAGAGACAAAACTTTTGTCTCCAAATTTGCGAGAACCAATACTCCAGATAGTCAGAAAAGGTACACAAAATGCACTCCAAAGAAGCTTTGAACAACATTCGCAGGACCTTCAAAAGGGATATAACCATTTTTCATGATTTTTATGAAGGTTGAGGATCTTATGCTCAGTGTTTTATTCAAATTTCAAAGGTAGTATGGTCTTTGGGAACCCATTTTCCCTTGTAAGCTGGAAAATCATGCGCCATCGTAAAGTTGGTTTTAGGAAAATTTAGTTACCAAACGTGTGCCATTTAAGGTCTCCCATCACATTTCATCAACTAAAAAACAGTATACTCCTTCCCATCCTAAATGTCCCACTCTGTTCTTCTTTATGAGTCTACTTACATCCCAAACCTGCCGATTAAAAAATACATTAAATTGATAATTTGTTCACATGTGCTCTTATTAAAGAAAAAGTAATAAAAATAATATTTTATATTTTCTCTCACTTATTTCCTTTATCTTTCTCTGTATTTATTAAGTCAATAAGATTAAAGTTGGAAAAAAACCTCATTAATCATTCTACAGGTAATTTATACTACCTCCGGTCATAATTATAAGATCCAATTGACTAATTTGAGGAGATTAAGGAAAGAAGTTAAGTTAGTTATTTATAATAAATAGGTGTTATCTTTTCTAAAATATCCTTACTAATCAACTATATTGGCTAGAACTACAATTATTAGAAGGACTACTTTGAAAAAAATACATAAATATAAGAGACAAAATGGATTGAAATCTTATATTTAGGACCAAAATAAAAGTCAAACATAATCTTATATTAAGGACCGGAGGTAGTATTTACAAACAAATTCTTTATAAATAGGAACATAATAGTATAAACTAATAACTAATTTGTAGAAAAAATTTAACTATTTTTACAAGTCATGTGTTGTTTTTCTTAGAGTACACATTCCAATCATTTGCATAAAAAAACTACTCCCTTAATAAATAGTCCCAATCAACAAACAAGGAAAATTTGAAAAAAATTAAAGCAAATTCTTCAACTAGTTTTTTAATGTTTAGGATAGGAGGAGTTTAAAGATTTCTCGCAAACAAATAAATTAGAGAGCTTCAATTAAGTGAATCTAAATTATGCGAAAAGCGATATTTGTACCCGAGCACACTAATCGCGAAGCAGAGGAGACGACATCACTTCACAATTAAATAATAATGCACTCTGTAACCAAAAGAGAAATAAAGAAAGAAAGAGGAAGAAGAATCCATTCTCTCCGTTTTTTTTTCCCGAATAAGCAAGGCAAGAAATTATCTTGCAAGTATTAACCCCCAGGTTACAACAACCTACCAAACTAGGCCAGAGGCCACGTTTAGATGGTTACAGTCTATCAAAAGCTGAACTATGCAATAAGTTGGAGGATCCTGTATATGTAATAGAAACAAAGTGTTGCACGTCTTGTGAGAATTCCAAGAAAAATAATCATCACATTGCAGAATCTCAAGATCCCAATTAGAATATATTAGAGACTCAAACTTCAACAGTCTCGTTTCTCAATGAGTGATATAAACCACTACCTGCTAATATCAAGTGAAAAGCCTCCAAGGAGTCCGTATAATAGAGTTGTACTCTGGCCGAGCCATATTGCTTACAGACTTGTAGTCCAGCTTTGATAGCTTCGAGTTCTGCAAAAGTTAAGGATCTATAACAAATTGCTTGTTGAAATCCCACTATCCATTTTCCTTGCTCAACACTAACCAATCCTCTGCAAGCAGCAGGCCTCTGGCTATTGAGAGAACCGTCTACATTGACTCGAACATATCCTCTGGTGGGTGGATATCGCCAAATGCAATCTGATCTGTCTTGCACTTGGTAGATCTTGTGCTTAAGCCGACCATCTTCAACACCCTCCATTAGTTGATGAATGCAGCCGTCATTGTGTAGTGTTCCCATATTTTTATAACACGCTGGATGAAACTGCCTTCCAAAATTAATCAAATACAACTCTGTGTATGCCTTAACATGCTTCAGTTGAGGTTTTGAAAAACAATACAGCATGAACTCAGTCATTCTAGGCAATGACACATTATAACGCAAAGACAATTCATTGATGCAGGAAAAATTAATAAACAAAAAGCCAAAGTATGTTCTTTTTTTTTTTTTTGGGGGGGGGGGGGAAGGAATCCAAAACAGCTCAATAGGTGGTTAATTCACTAACAAAATCAATTTCTGGCAAATACGTCCATAGAAATTTTAATATTAGTACATGTGAAAGTAAATAGGATGAGAGTATCTAACCTTGTTTTTATTGTTTCACAAGACCACCATCAATCATTTCATGAAGAAGATTATGTACCATATCATTCTCACTTTTTTCCAAAAGTGCTCGAAGAAGTATTTTATATGTTATTGAATCTGGGGGGCAGGAATTCTGTTTCATTATTGGAAGCAGAGTCATGGCTTCATCAAGCAGCCCTTGTCTACAGAGGCCAGTGATCATAATATTATACGTAAAGACATTTACATGATAGCCTTTGCTCAAGAGGCATTCAAAAATCTCCCAAGCATCATTTAGTCTATCACCTTTACATAAACCATAAATAAGTATGTTATGTGTGCGCAAATTAGGCTGAACTCCCAAGGCAACCATTTGCTGAAATAATGCAATCCCCTGATCGACATGCTGGCTTTTGCAAACTGCAGCTAACAAAATGTTATAAGTGACTACATCTGGGGCAATACCACTATCGTGCATATCATCAACAAGGTCCTGCACATATGACATTTTTCCTGATCTGCACATGCTATCAATAAGAGAGTTGTAAATCCTTGCATCAGGCTTAATGTTCTTACTACGCATTTCTTTAAAAAGAGCCATGGCCTCATCAACCATCTTGATCTTACGTAATCCATCGATTAGCACATTAAAACTAACTACATTAGGTTCTAATCCACTTCGGACCATCTTATCAAATACTTCTTTTGACTTGTTAACATTGTTCATTGAACAATACCCATGCATTAATGAATTGTGAGTTACAACATCAGGTCTCCCACCACATTTCATCATCCTAGCAAGCACAACTTCTGCTTCTATGATCTTTCCTTCTTTACAAAATGCACCAATCAATATATTAAACATATAAACATCAGGCTCGATGGCTATCAATAGTACCATTTCATGGAGCAACCAGTTAGCTTCTTGCCATTGTCCCTTGCTGCAGTGACCATGGATTAGAGAGCCATAAGTGACAATATCGGGTAAAAGTCCTTGATCAATCATTTTAGAATACAATGCATGGGCCTCAACAATTTGTCCACATTTGCAAAGGCTATCAATGATTGTATTGTATATGACCACATGAGGCTTAACTGAATGCCTCTCCATCTTTCGGACCAATTTAATGGCAGACCTTAATTTGCCCAGTTTACATAGCCCATTAACCAAGGTTCCATAACTAACTTCATTTAACTGAAATCCTTTGGCCATGATGTCATCATAAAAGTCCAATGCTTCTCCAACCCGGTTCCTAATGCAGAGTCCTTTTATCAGCGTATTCAAAGTTACAGTGCCCAGTTGAAGACCCATCTTGTGAATCTTTCCCAATATTGAGAAAGCAGAATACATGTCACCCAAATGGCAGTAACAATTGAGCAAGATGTTGAGTGTAAATAAATCGGGTGTGAATCCCCTGAACTCAGCTTGTGCAAACAATGAGATGGCAGTGCGGTGATGCTGAGCCTTGGGAAGTGATGCTAAAATCTTATTAATTTGGAGTATGGAAGGTGGGGGATGCAGATGGAGTAAGCGATTGAATGAAACTACGGAGGCGTGAATGCTATTCACGTTTGAGGTTTGGGAATGGGCAAAGAACTTCGGGATGAGGGAAAAAGGGAAAGAGAGAATCATGGAAGATGAAGAACATCGAATACAGAGAAGAGGTTGGGGGAAAGTGTACCTTCTAGCGGCACGCAGCGACATCTTCGCCGATGAGAAACCTCGCCCTGGAGGCCGGGGCACTTAACGCTGAATGGAGGCAGCGATTTCCCAGTAGCCTTTTCCGGCGGCCATGACCCTATTTGCTCAGGTGGAAAATGTTATTACAATTTATACAAACTGAAAAAAAAAAAAAAATTTTATATAGACCTCCGCACATTTATTTTTAATCGCTAAGTAGTTGGATATTTCTCAGAAAGTGTCACATATTGTTTAAGATCAGCGTAAGGGTAACAAAATAAATATACTTTGATAAGAGTAACTTATCAATTGGTGGTAAGAAAAGCAATTTGACTTTGAAAAAAATTCAATTGGACAAAAATCAAATTAGGTAATGTAACTTATTTTTTGGATTTTAGATTTTATAAAAGTTAGCTTATTTTCTCTTGGGAGAGAAAATAAGATGAATCTCATACCTCATTCTCTCTCCATATATGAACTAAATTTGGGAAGGGAAAAAAAATAATTCATGACTGCCCCTCCTCTCTCTTCTTATCCATATTTATCTTCTTTTTATTTTTGGTAAGGAAAGGGGCTTAAAGCCCAAAACAAACAAAAATTACAGTAAAAGACAAAGAATACTATCTACCCCTCTCATAAACCATTCCTGTACGATCCGCAAAATGCAACCAGCGAACCTTTTCTTGAACTTGAGGCCATATCCGAATATCATCATCAAGAGACATGCCCAAGTTAGCCAAGGCATCAGCACATTTATTGCACTCACGTGGGACTTGAACCACTCTCACTTGCCAATCCTTCCTGCACCAGTTCCATATTCTCAGCAGCAACCGACTCTCCATATTTATTTTCTTTTGTCATATTTAAGAAATTCACCTTCTATTTTTTATCTTAAAATAATATTTTTATTAAATATTTTTGTTTTAAAATATAATAGTCTGAAAATATATATATAAACCAAATAACTTGATTTTAAATTATTTGATGATGCTAATATTAGTATAATATTCCTATTGTAATTTGATTTAATTTTAAATATGATATATTTTGATAATGATATTTTAGTCATTTTTATTAAATAATAAAAAATGTGTTTACATGATATAATGAATTAAAATTATTTTAATATAAAAAACTGAAATTTAATGACCGAAATCTATTTTTAAAAAATTAGAGATATCATAAAATTTTTTTGTAAATATAAAGTTTAACATAATTTTAAAAAATCAAAAATTATTTATGTATATATTATGTGTAAATTATGAGAATTAAAATGATGAATGAAGTAAAATTATAAATTTCAAATATTTCAAATAGGAAAATGTCATATTTAATGGATAAAATATCTTTAAATTAAAATTCATTATATTGTGACAAGATTGAACGAAATAATATTGCATAATTAATTCATTGATAAACTGTGGATAATTTGGTCTCTGATTGTGTCACGGACGCGATTTATTCTACAATGAAGGCTGTGATGTTACATTTGAAGATGATGCGTGAACGGTTTTAATTTGATCATCTTCCTCAACCATAGTATCATTTTTAGCTTTTAGGAAATAGTTGTGGAAGCTTGAATTTTTTCTTATAAGATTATAAATAACCATTGTTGCGCAAACTATGTACACTTATGTTTGAGCTCGTAACTACACATATTTCATAAATGAAAAGTATGATTAGGATTCAAAGGTAGCTTTGCAGAACCAAATTGAGGCTAAAAATTTGATGAAAAGTCATCAATTAAAAAAAATATTAGTAACTACAAAACATATCCGATGCAAATTCTCATAGAAATCAAATATAACTTCCCTATACAGCAATCCACTTAAGTCTAGAAATAATCCAGAGAACAATGCTCAAACCATCATTTTAATGTCTCCAAGCTTGATTTAACCATCCAAAATAATTGTTCAGCATTTAGGAACATAAACAAAAAATTTTAAATCAGTTTCTGGCTTCCAAATTCGAAAAGCTCCCATTGGGAAAATTCCAGATTCCAGCATCACTTTGACACAGCAATAACCAATGACTCATCCATCAAACTTATATACTTTATCTATTATAACTTGTACGCATCTCCTTGCAAATTTCTACACACAAAAAAAAGAAGATGAATTCCTCTTAATCATAAAGTTTCGTACTAGAAATGCTACCCCAAAATTTCAGATTAGAAATGCTACCTCTTATCATTACACCTTTTAATTTTCAAAAAGTCTATTAAATGTTGATTCTTATCCTCCATGTTATATGATGATTCTTATCTTCGATGTTTTTAGTATTGAAAATAATTAAGGATGGGTGACTATTCAACCACCAATAATTTTTTAACATTATAATACAAATATATATATGTCTAAGTTAACTCCTTTATTTTAGTTCAAATTCGTGATAATAATTTATCTAGGTATAACAAATATTGATTGTGAAATGTCAAGTTTATACTTAGGATTAACAAGATATTTTTTCTTATATATAATATGTGAAATATGTGACTCAATTAAAAATGATAACATTTCATATCTGAATAACAAACTTCAGATGGGATTCACAACACGTTTTTTCATCATATAATTAAAAAAACATAATTTATAAATACTTTTTAAACTATGTAGTTATATAAGGGAAATTGAAATAAGATCCCATCCAAAAAAATTAAATACAAAATGGTCCTTTGATACCATCAAATTAGTATGAAGGGACCTCATTGCAAGAAATTTTATTTGTTTAATTACTAAATTGCTCTTATTCTTTTTTTAAAATATATATTAACAACTGAAAGTACAGTTGTTAATAATTTAAGGTATAATGATTGATAACTATCCTAGCAAATATTGACAACTCATGCATTACATTTTTGTGATGCATTGATAAATGTATTGTTATACTTACCGCGATAGTTATTAATCGTTACATCTTAAATTGTTAATGGCTGCTCTTTCAGTCGTCAATGCATATTTTAAAAAAGGACAAATTGGTAATTGAACAAATAAAATCTCTTGCAATAAGGTCTTTTGAGACTTCAGAATAATTTGATAATTTTAAGAGACTTTTTTATTTAATTTTCTTAGGTGGAACCTTATTGTAATTTTTCCTTTATATATAACTCATTAAACTATACTTTTGTTCACTATGCTTTTGTTTATGATTTATAACTAGTTATTTATCATTTATAATTTATAAAATTTTATTTATAGATTTATTTAATGAGTTATATAGGTATGTAGATAAAAAGTATCTATAAATTATATTTTTTTTATTAATCATATAATAAAAAAATATGTTGTTAATTCCAACTCGAAACTTGATATTGCCGGGTGAAATGTTATCATTTTTAATTGATTCACATATTTTTTCAAATATTATGAATAGAAAAGAACATTTTATTAATCTCAAGTCTTAACTTGTCATTTCACAATGAAGGCTTATTATTTTCAAATCAATTGTTGTTATTTTTAATTAATTTACATATTATTTCACATGCTATGTATAAAAAAAATTGCCTTATTAATCTCAATTTTAGATTTATCATTTCACAATCAAGACTTGTTATTCTCAGATAAATTGTTTTCACAAACTAGAACCAAAGTAAAGGAGTAAACTTATATTTTGTTTTACATGATAATATTAAGAAATTATTGGTAGCCTAATAGTCATTTACTTTTTTGTTGGCCCAAATAATCATAGGATGGTTGGATTAAATCTCACCTCCACCACTTTCTAAAAATAATTTCCCATTGGCCAAAAAAAATTCTGCCAACAAAAACAAAACAAAAAACCTCCTCGCTAGTGGTTAGTGCTGGCATAAGTGACCAGTCGCCAGTGTGGTCTCCAGTGAGTGGTTGAACCTTTTTTAAAAAAGCAAAAGGACATTTTTGTCATTCTTTTTTAATTTTAAATTTTAAATTTGGGTTTACTTATCTCTTTGTCATTTTTAACCCTTAAGTTCTTCAATTGGAAAGTGATAATTTCAAGGTCTTTCTCATTAAAAAATAGATAAAATTAACATTTTCAACGTGGGTAAAATTCATCATGCTTTTGGATAATCTACTTATGAAAATTAGATCAAAACATTTGAAGTGATTTGAATTAGATACAAGGTTTCTGCTTGATTCTCATATCGAGAGATCATAGTATGATTCACATGTCAGTAAATAAATGATATATTTGTCTCTTGATCTTCAAAATATGTTATGTTTATTTTAATACAAGACTTGAAAAATTTGTTCATGATATTAGACTTTGTATACCTAAAGATGTTTGCTAATATTGGCAAGATGGGGAGTTAATACATCAATGAATGATATGATGTAATTTTTTTTTTTACTAGGATTTTGTTCCACAAGATTTTTCTTAGTTAAAATTTTTTAAATATAATAAGATATATTCATATTTCTCCTATCATTTCCAATATCTTATACTATTTACACGATTCCATTATTATCTTCTATTATTATGTAATCTATAGATTTTGTTAAAATTGTAAAATTATGTCTAAAAATAGAGGGTATTTATGATGTATTTAAGACTTTAAATTGAATGAGAAATGCTCATCATGTTAGAAATTACAGTCACACAGTCATAGTTTTACAAGAAAAAGCATGATTTTATGAAAAACAACCCGAACACCTTATAAAAATTAATAATTGATTAAGGTACACCAAAACCAATGGTTTTTTAAGAAGTCAATTTGTTCCACATTTTTGACCGGAAAACCATGATTTTATCAAAATATATATACATATTAATTACTAATTAATTATGTAAAAAATATATTGATCCTGTATATGTATATTTATTATTTACTTATTACTTATATATTTTTAAGTAATTTGCATTATTACTTATATATTTTTAAGTAATTTGCATATGAAAAAGTGACTCTCACAATAACCATCCAATCCAAACACTTAAAATTTTTCAAATTCACTTTTTTAACAAAATTTATTATTCTACTCAAAATTTATTCTCTAAAATCAATTTTATTACATTTTTCAAGAAACTATTTTCCAAAAGCTAATCCAAACACCCTTTGAGAATTATTCAAACACTCCGTAACATCACAAACAAAA